GGCTATTGTAGTCCCATAATTGGATTAGAGAGAGACTGGTGTTCAATGTACTAGAACTGTTTATTAAAGGTATAGATACCTTGGCATTTCAAAGAGGTATATTATTTTTTAAAAACATATTTTAGCTTTTTCAAGTAATTAGACTAGCCAAAAGGTTCAACATTTGGTATCTATAATGAAATAGGCATAAGGATATTGAAAAATAGTTGTTCCTCTCTCTTTTTTTTTAAAATCTTTATTTTGAAAGCATTACAGATGTCTCCCCTCTACCCCCTTTGTTGACACCCTTCACCCGGCTCCCGCCTTCTCCCCAGGTCTTCTCCACACTTTGTCCATGGGCTATGCATATCTATACTAATAATAGGATAATATGCAAATTGGTTGGGACACTGTCACAGTAACAACGATCAGCAGGCTGCGTGCACAGCAGGAGCAATTGGGCGGGGACTTGCAGCGTCGGGGACAGGGCTGCGGCAGAGAGGCCTCTCCACGTGCCTGTGCTGGGGGCCCACAGGCACACAGAGAGGCCCCTCCACCACAGCCCCGGCCAGGGGTCCGCAGGCGCACAGAGAGGCCCCACCACCGCGGGCCTGGCCAGGCGGCCTCCGTGAACCTGCGCTGGGGGTCCACAGGCCTCCCCCGGCTCCAGCCTACCTCTTTGGGGCAATCCATTGAGGAGCCCCAGATGGGTAGGTGGGGCCTATCTCTTTGGGGCGATGGATCAAGGGGCTCCCACACTGTGACAGGGAATAGGCCAGGCTGGGGGACCCCCCCCCCCCCCCCCGCATGAATTTCATGCACCGGGATGTTTATAAGTGCTTTGGTTAATCCTCCCCCAACCTTTCCTCTGAAATACCTCAGTCTGTAGCAATTGAGTAATTGGTGACTCAGAGAAGAATGGATGGTAAACCAGACAGGGGTTGGTTGAGTGAATGAATGGCAGAGGAGGAAAGAGGTTTAATGTTGGCTAAGATACAAAATTGTACCCAGGATACAATATTAAGTGAAAAGTTGTAGAATATGTATAGTATAATGTCACTTAAAATAAAATTCAGACTCCTTTCTATGACCTTCAAGTCCTTTAGGTCCTTTATGACCCATCCCCTGCCTACTTGTGACTTTATCATATGCCATGCCCCAGCCACACTGACCATTCTATTCTGATGCTTTAACATGCCAAGTTTGTTTTTGCCCCAGGGTCTTTATACTTGCTATTATTTCTATTTAAAATTCTCTTCTCCCTGTGACTAGTTAGTTCCTTCAAGTCATTCAGATCTCAAGTCTCTCAAATATATATACTTTTTTTTTTAATTGACTTCAGAGAGGAAGGGAGAGAGAGAGAGAGAAACATCAATGATGACAGAGAATCATTGATCGGCTGCTTCCTGCACATCCCTTACTGGGGATCAAGCCCACAATCTGGGCATGTGCCCTTGACTGGAATCGAACCCGGGACCCTTCAGTCCATAGGCTGACACTCTATCCACTGAGCCAAACCAGCTAGGGCTCAATTCTCTTTAGAGAAGCCTGTCCCAACTGTTGAATGAAAATGTACACACAAAGGTATATATAAGTGTACGTATTACATGAAAAACATTTAAAAAGTTCTGAAAGGATTATTTGAACTTATATCAGAAGTGATTATGAGACTAGAAGTACACAATACCCATTAATTTTTGCTTCATAGACCTCTATGTACATTTTCTACAAAAATCATGTCTTCTATAACTGAAAACCATTATCTAAATGATCATATAAGCCTAAGGTAGTCAGTCTATTCTGCCTATTTTCTTTTGATGGGTTGCCATGATCTGACTGTAGACTGATCTTTGAGTTGTTTTGGTAGGGCAGTTCAAACTTAGAATCTTAAACCTTGGAACGGAAAAGAGCTTAGAGATCCAACCCCACAATTTTACAGATGAGGAAGCAGACTCATAATAATTCAATTAATAAAACTAAGCATTGATGAAAAATCTTCAAAGACCAAATGATTAAGAACTACTTAAAAGGCTAAGCTATTACACGTTATACATAATTTAAATAACTAATAAAAGCTTACTAAAGCTTTCTCTCACATATAACCTACAATCTTCTGGTGAATAATTACTCAAAGTAAAACTATCCCCTTAAGCACACTATTTGACCAATGAACCCTATGGTTAAACATCAGTTAACCATTATAATATGACAAAGGATCAGAATATTACATAAATATAGGGAGTGGAAATTATTCACCGTTAGGTGTGCAGCCTAACTGAACCAGTAGGCATAGTTTTCAACCAGGGTATACAGTTAAGTCTGTAATACATTTAAGGATTCATTATGCTTTGATTCAAATTTCTGTATCATTATCTACAATGCAGGGGTGGGCAAACTTTTTGACTCAAGGGCCACAATGGGTTCTTAAACTGGACAGGAAGGCCGGAACAAAAGCATGGATGGAGTGTTTGTGTGAACTAATATAAATTCAAAGTAAACATCATTACATAAAAGGGCATGGTCTTTTTTTTTTTTTTTAGTTTTATTCATTTCAAACAGGCCGGATCCGGCCTTCAGGCCATAGCTTGCCCACGGCTGCTACAATGTGTATTTAGTGGAATTTAATAAAAATTAAATGTTGAATAGGTAAGAAATACACTAAATGTCAGTTACAGAAATTACTTATTTCTCTTTACATAATATAGATTACCAGGAATATGTTTTACCTAAACTTTTGAATAATACCAATTTATGTTTGTTTAACAAACTATCTCATTTGATCCTCACAACAATCCCATAGACAGCAGAAATTATTGTTATCATTTAATACAAAAGAATGAAGCTCAAAGGTTAAGAAACTTGACTAAGGTCATTCTGACAAGTCCTTATACCCAAATCCTCAACCTCTTAGCTACTGTTCTTTGCATTCCTCTGGCTACCTCACATTTACTATGTATTAAAATGCAAAATGCTTTATAATTTCCTTCAACACTGGTGGAGGTGAAGAAGGTACCAAAACCCTAGCAGTCCTATGCTTTTCTATTCCATTTGAAGTTTTGGTACCTGAGAAAATAGTATTCATTTTTCTTAACAGTGAGGAGAAAGATATGACAGTCATCTAAATTGAGAATTGTGTTCATCAGCAATTCTGTTTTAAGTGCTACCAAATATTCAATTGTTTTCTTAATCCTAATAAAATAAAAGTACCCTCTTATTTAGAAAGTTCTCCACAAGCAATACCCAAAGTAGTGTTACCAATATGGACTTTATAGTTGAAAAAATCTGAAACAAAATCTTAGTCCTTCACTCACTAGCTGTTCAACTGTGGGTACATTTCTTAACTTCCTTGAATCTCACTGTCCTCATCTACAAAATGAGGATAAACACCATCTGTCTCTGTGAGTTGTTGGGAAGATTCAATGATTTATGTGTAAAGTACTTAGCTCTTAGAAAAGGTCCAGGTCATATAGTTAGTGTTGTCAGAGAAACAGATGCAAATAAGTACTGCTGATAGGTAATGTCATTTAACTTATGTGAACTTTACTAACTGAACCCCTAGGGTGACCTTGATACTTTTTTTCACAAGTATCTGGGGCAGGACAGAATATATCACACTTGCTCCCAGGATACCAATTAAAATGAGTGCTGTATTTCAGTACTCTTCTAACTCCTTTAAGCAATATAGTAATAGTAATAATCTATTCTTTAACTACCTTAAAATTGGCTGCATCCAAATCCAGGCTTACACTATTTTCACTCCTACTCTTTATCTAAGTCTAACTGCATCATTCACTATTTTGAAATAAATCTAATACTAAGCCAATTTTAGAAATACAAATCATGATACAGTGAATTCACGTTGGGTGAAATGGGTAGGAAGTTTCAGGGGGAGTGAGGAAAAGGAGCTGAGAAATTATGTATTCAGCAGTCTATCATGCACTAATTTACTTTCTCTCTTTTATTCTTCACAGGCATCATTCTAATCAATATTAGCATCATTTTACAGATTAGAAAAGGAATGCTCAAACTCTTGTTCATTCCCCCTGGCTCAAAGTGCTCCAACCACTCTAACCTACAAGATTCTTGCTCAACTAAAAGCCTTTCCTCTTACAATCTCTTCCCCAAATGCTCTCCTAGCTCCCTGCAATGCTGTCTCCTCCTGCTTCAGGTCTCACCTCAAGCTGTACCTACTCTTACCAAGTCTAAAGTAGCATACACCAAGTACTCGATTCTTACTTCCTTCATAAACACAAAATAATCTGCATTCATCTTCTTGTACTTTGACTTTACACTGCTGTACCCTGAGTGCTCAGCATAGATGATGATGCTAGCTTAATGAATGAATGCACACACCTCCCAAATGGCAGGGCCTGGAAACCAATCCAGATAAATCTGACTGCAAACTCCTACATGGCCTACCACTACTTTTTTCGTGAGTGAAAAGAGAGATGCTTTCAGCTGGGAAACCAATTTAGAGGCGTGCCTTCCTACCTTCTATATTCATTCACTTTTTTAAAACTTACAGAACGATATACCCATATACTTAATACTACAAAATATTGAACCAGAATTTCAAGAGATCTTACACTGCCTTTCAGAATCACAACTCAATTTGAAAAACAAAACAAAACACTGTATTTATGATGCCTTTTAACAGTCAAAATGCTTCAAAACTTTTGAATCATCGATATGTATACGTATAGTTATATTTAAGTCTAAAGAAAATGTAAATACATGCATTTTACTAACAGACTTGTAATGTTTTGTTCTTTTTTTAAAAATAAGATGTTTTGGAGTTCCCCTATCATACACAAAAATTTTTAAATCAGCCATGGGATTATCATTCTGATAACGGTTATAATGTTCTTTCTTAAAATGGCACAAATGCACTCAATCTGTTGCCTTCACTATTAAACCATGTTCTTGCGCGCAGACGTCACCCCACGTCAAATGCCCAGTGCACTTGGAGCAGATCACTAACATCCCTTTTGTTACCATACCCATGGGGGTTTAATACTTACTGCTGAGTCCTCCATCCTCGGATACGCTGGTTCCTCTCATTCCTAGGTAAGTCAGTCCCAATATTAGGAAAAACAAGCAGGCAGCAGTTAAGAGAAACATCGACAAGTAGTGGGCACTGAAACCCCCGGTGGGGGACACCTCCTCCCGTTTAAATTGCTGGAGAAGTTCCTCCTCGGGCTCGGAGAGCTTCGGCTTGCCGTATGCGTTCTGCAGGTAGGTGTGATTGGCGCCCGTGTGATTGGAGTGATTGATCCTGAGTGAACCCGGGGCGGCCACCGCCGCACTGGGAGGGAGGCTGTTGGGGAAAATCCTGGAGGAGTCCACCCCGAGGGCGCCGCCGCCGCCGATATGATTATTGGTTTTGAGCAGGGAGCCTGCGGACGAGTCCAGGGTGGCGTCCATGTCGGTGAGCGGCGGGGCCAGGAGCGGGGCCAGCTTCTTGGCGTTCACACGGTATCGAGGAACCGGGCTGGAGTCCAGCGCCTCACACGCCCCTCCCTGCCCCGCCGCCGCGGACTCCTCGGGGTTTCGACTTCTGTCTAGACTCCCAGCGGCCGCCGCCCTGTCATTCATCGGGATTCCTCCCCCTCCCGGGACCCCGGGCCCCGGCCGGCC